AATGGTGGGTGGTTTCACATTTCAATCATAAATGTGCGGGCTACAATCATGCCTCATTAAGAAAGGTTCTGATTATATTTTAGAGTTTCTAGAAAACAAGCTCTTCGAAGGGCAACCCCCATGGTCGTATTCAGATTCACTTTTCACTTTTCTCCTTCTTGGAAAGGAATTTCAGGAAAAGGATACGGAAGTTTGAAGGAAGGGCAGAACATGTCGGTTTTCCGAATATTGATCTAGCTTGGACTCATGGTGCTTAAAAATTCATGTTCTATAGTCGGCAAGCACATTTTCTAAATCAGTTTTTTACGTAGATAACGAATACAAATAAACGAGATCAGAAATACTTATGGTTCAAAGACCATAAGCGATTTTTCGAAACACGTGTATTTTTTACGATTTCAAAGTTTTTTAGTATTTCACTGTTTTCGACATGAAAAATCAACTTTTTCTCAATGAATTATAGATATTCGGAATCAGCCCATTGAGCTTTATCAGAATCTGTAAAGAAATCTATAGGTAAAAAACCTATAGTAAAATTAAGGTAAAGTGCCATCCCTAGTATGAAACAGTAGATTGTAGGATATAGATTACTAAAAAAATGTGATGAAATTGTATTATATCCATTAATATCAAACTTTGGATTGGATATAACTGAGTGACATGAAATCTTGACCGTGCATTTATAAGAATACCTTATATACGTTCAAAGCAGTTCACTTACAATACGTTACAGAAGAATTCTATAAATTCTTATACGAATCATTGCGATTCTAATATTGATCTTACCAGTTTCGTATATAAGATTCTTATCAATATTCTACGCATTTCCATCAACTGCCTTATTAAGAAATTCTTAAGATTCTTGTAGATATTCTATAAGGTTTCTATATCAGATTTGATCTCTAGGGTTAGAATTCAGCTTTCTTAGATAGTTTTTTCAATGATCTTGGGGTTCGTAAAACGGCCTCACTGCTTTCATGATGTCGTATACAAAAATGTATCGTCACTTATGCTTAACATTTCTAATTCGTGAACATAACAATAGTAAGATTTACTAAAAAGTTATTTTTTTATTTAACTTCAACAATTTTATTTAGGTTCCTATTTCACTCCACGAACCATTATCTACGACTATTCAATCTCCACTATATGAAGTTGTACCATCATCAAACACATCTGATAATAATGAATTATTTACATTTGTTGTTAAACGTCGTTCAACTAATGAAAATGTATTTGATACAAGTCTTGGTAATTTAATATTATCAGATCAATTTCTACAAATTGTTATACGTCTTCAATCATCAAATGTCTATGGTATGGGAGAAAATAATCACGATACATTAAAACATCAAGTTGATGAATATCCGTCATGGGGTATATTTGGAAGAGACCAAGGTGAGGATAACGACTTTAAAAAAAAACTAACTTAACATTCAATTTTCTTTTCTTTTTTTTTCATACTTTTAGCAATTGATTGGGCTACAAATGCAAATCATTATGGTACATATCCATTTTATTTAGTTATGGAACAAAATTCATCAACTGGTCTACCTAATGGTAATATGCATGGTGTACTATTATTGAATTCAAATGCAATGGATTACTCATTTACACCAATACCAAGTATAACATTGAGAACAATTGGTGGTATACTAGATTTCTATGTGTTCCTCGGACCTAAACCAGATGAAGTAATTAAACAATATACATGGTTAGTTGGAAGACCAATAATGCCACCTTATGTGAGTTTATATATTTATTCTAAAATTTCGTTTTTTAAGATTGTTTCAATATATACCAGTAAAAACTCGATATATTGTCAGTTTTAGAACTCTACTTATTCGAAATTTATATCAGAAATCTGATGTTGTCTCGATGATATTCGACTCAGAAAATAAATTTCGATAAAAGGTTACTTTATTTTGAATCTAATAGCTGGATTAGTCCTACACACGAATCGAAACAAGATTTTCGAAGCTCAGAATCAGGATACTAGCGGGTCTGTCTGAGACTTTCGTAGTTTCTTGATCAATCAGGTGCATCTTCTAGAGAGTGACATATTTCTAATTCTGTATGATATAGTATAGGGCTCGATTTGGTAAAGCCAATATTCTAATACTTTTTCTTGTCTAAACTAGATTGTTTATAGTCGTCGTTTTAAAACGTTCAAATCGCTACCTTGAAGCCTTAAAACGGATCAGTTTAGTTGTCAAACTTAAATTGAATGTTTGAGTATTCTAAAAACGACCTGTTTAAAGTTCAAAATTGCAGTGTAATATTTTCACCCTCATTAAGAAGGACTAAAAATAAGTTCAACCTATTATTAATCGAGTCTCTCATGAAATTTGATCATGTACTTTCTAAAAACTGCTACGTAATGTTTTGTTTTAATAAATGAGACGTTAATCGACAGTGAATTAGAACCTTTTTAATAATTCCAATCAGACTCTTACGAGAGAAGGACCCCAAGTTCCAAATTCTTTTTCCAATGAAACTAGGTGGACTATATGTAATTGATGATGCTGATTCGAATATGAACATCGGAATTGTCCTTAGACTTTTGTTGACCGGTTTTGTAGAAAATGGATCTCCAGAAAATCAGGGACCAAATCCAGAACATTTGTCATTTTGTAGAGGACACAAAACTGTCTATATTCTATAAGTTTTCGATTTTCAAAACAGAGGAAAATTTCCCAGAAGAGTGGCTACGCTGTTTTTGGTGGTAAACTGTTGTATCAGAATTTTGCAAAAATCATAGGACTAAAAAACTAAAACTTATGGAACGTAGACAGTTTCGTGTCCTGTACAAAATGGTCGATTCAGAAAAACGTTCCGGAGTTAGTTCCTGGTTTTCTGAAGATCCAGTTTACAGAAAATTGGTCAACAAAAGTCTACAGACAATTCCGATGTTCGTATTCGGAATCAGCGTTATCAATTACATATAGTCCATCTAGTTTCACTGGAATAATGATTTGTAATTTGAGGCTTTTCCCTTAGACAGTTAGACACTTCTTAAGATTATCTTACTTAGATCTTATAAGATATTACCCTTTAAGATCTTGATAAGTTTTGACGACTCTATCTCCAGTCAACCTTTTTTCTATGCTCATGCAAGTATGTCGATAACATCGAAAATAACGTAATTTTTTATAGTGTTATATTTCTTTCAGATTTTGCGACTACAAAAGGCAAAAGGGTTCAATAACTTTTTACAAAGGATGGGGTGCAAGTCGAGGCCCATGGAATCCGACACACGCAAATTTGAAATTTCTCTTCATTTTTAAAATCTGTTTAAATGTTACTTTAAACAGTGTAAATTAGATACTGAAAAAGCCTTAGTGAATCGTCAATGAATGCTATAAACAAAATGTCATTGATCTTATCATCAAGATCCTAATAGATTCTGAACTAATTTTGAAAAAATCTTAGACAATATAATCGTAGGAAAAGCTTATCAAATCTTAAAATTTTTCGAATATCATGTTTGTGTAAGATCTCACGAGGGAACCATCTGAGGTGATACCTCCCGTTTTCATTCATTCATATCTCATTTAGTTGAGTATATTGAGATAGTAAAAACCCTAA